ACACAAAAACTAAGATCCAAAGGCCTGCATACATTTTGGCTCTCCTTCCATTGCAATCCGTTACGTTGTCTACAAAGCTACTTCAGAATGTCAGAGAACTCTCTGGAGCTGGCTTCAGCGCAATGCCAAGAGGCTGAAGCCAGGAATGTAGCCACCAATTCACAGTATTTCTAGAATAAGACATTTTGACTATGCAAGTAGAAACTAATTATGTAGCTATACGTTAGAAAAATGGTGGTTATGAAGGCAGATTATTGATTTTAGCAGATTAAAACTTGTAGTCCTCTAAAAATGTAATATACATAAAATACCATTCTTGACTTGGTCATACTTTTATGCCAGAAACAGAAGTGGTTTCAAGGGAACTGAAAATTGCTTGTGTGTGTGTAATTGAGTGCCTTAATATTTGTACCCATCCTTTCATGGTGGGGAAAAAACAACCTTGGAAGAATTACATTTAACTGTTTTGGCAAAGGCTCCTGAACATTCATATGCTCATTTTGAGTGGGGCAATTTACATGCCCAAGGCAAGTGGTCCTAGGGTTGCTGTGTACCTGTCAGATTTCCCAGAGCTGCTGTCTTGATTGGTGACAGGCACAACATTTTGTGCACAGCTGTCACAATGCAAGTTAATGACCAGTAGGGATAATAATCCATAGTAGAGGCCATGATAAACACTGCTTTGTGCTAAAACTAGGCAGAGAGGTCTGTTTTAGTGCTCAAACTATGTAGGATCCACACGTTTGAAAAAATAAGGTAGAAGTTCAGAAACAGAGAGAGAATAAAAATTAGACCCCCACACCTGGTGTGTTAATTACCCATTAGATAACCATGAAATTACGGCTTGATTAAATTTGAGATTACCATTTTAGGTTGTACTGGATCTACCACAATACTAAATTGAAGGGAAAAGCAGGATAAATATATAAATGTACCTCTTCCATTGTTACTTATCTACTTGCAATTTCTTGCTTTCGAACTGTTAGGTTGGCAGGAGCTGGAACTAGAGATGGGAGCTCACTCCATCATGCGGCACCCGGGTCTTGAACTGCTGAACTACCGACCTTCCACAGCCTGCAGTTCAGCGTCTTAAAATGTACCTCTTCCATTGTTACAGGATGGTTAATTTTAGTTAGCCACAATGAAACTTGTAAGTGAATTGTCCATAAATTGTCCATACACTGTTAAAACTTTGGCAGCAGTTTGCAGGGTTCTTGGGAGGAGCCCAGCCCAGTTGGCATGAGGCTGATTTTGAAATCTGTTCCTTGAAATATCATTGAATTTGCCAGCTAATGCTTTAAGCATTTTCAGGCTCTTCCCCATTTTCACTATGAATGAACACCTTGGCTAGTCAGCGCTAGGTATTCTTGCTTTAGTTTCCTTCAGCATTTCATGTGAGTCCATTTTCAAACCTATGGCCAAGAATCAGTGGCTTTTTTTGATGCATAACTTGCTGTTCTGTCTACTTATGGGGTTTTTGGTTACTTGAATATTTTAGCTCCACTGAAATAGTGGGAGAAATTGCTGTGGAGAGGAGGAAAAGAACTAACAGAATTCCAAACAAATGACTGTAGCTTTCCGAAGCAGCTGTGCATGTAGTGAGGACAGCAGTTGGAAATCTGTTGATTAGTATGGGTACAAGTATTGAAGGCTTTACAATTGACTGCTTATGTGACTGACAGCCTTTTGAGGGTAGAGTAAAATGGAGTCCAATAGTACCTTAAAGTCCTAACCACTTATTGAAGCATAAGCTTTTGTCAATTAGAGCTTACTTCATCAGGTCAAAACTAAGCACTTTTCAGTGCAGTGAACACAAAAAATATTAGCTGCTTGTTGGGTCCTCATAACTAAACTAACAAGCATTCGTAAACGGTAAAGAATCCCGGAACTTGCATCGACATTTTGTAAAATCAATTCTAGGTCCCTTTTTTTGAATTCAGATTTATAAATTTCAATTTAAAGGAGTAACCTGATTTTATGATTAAGGGCTGTATTTAGCTTTTGTAAGTTCAATATCTGAACTGTTTGCTTGTGGAAGGAATTGTCCTTTTCATCCTTTTGCTGTTCAGATAGCTTTGCAGCTAGTGGTGCAGTGTTCAATTTGTATGCAAGCAGTGATGTTCTCTGGTGGGTTGTTTTTTTTTTTACTGTGCTGTTTGTACTTTATACTATTTTTGTCCGCTATGATAAGGAGCTAAAAATAAAACTGTAACTACTCTCTTTCTTTACTTTGGTGATTGGTCCACTTGCTGTTTGCAGGGCTAGTAAAACATATAGCTTGCTTGGCAGTTTTTCCCCCTCCCTACGCATATTGAAAGGAATGAAGTCAGTTTGTTGCTAAGACAGGCTACGCAGCCAGCTCACATAGTGACGTACTACATCTATTCAAGTGCACTCTCTGGAAAACCAGCAACATTTTTATAATTATGCTGAATAAGCACTTGGGATCCCCCCCCCTCCACTGAACTTGGCATGTTGTTGTCTAAAGCTGCTGTATACCTTTCTAGTTTTAAGATGAGGCTATTCCTAGGAGTGGAACAGCTTGTTCTGCTACCTAAAACTGATTCATAGTTTTAATTTAAAAAATGAGAACACAGCTTCTGTATTGTTTTTTTCTTGTAATATGCTGTGTGGTAGTTCACACCTGCGGTACCCCAACCTAGATTACTGGTGGATGTGAATGGTTTTTGATAGTGTGGTGCTGCCAGAAAATTTGGAATACATATGCAAACAGTTATTTGATTATTGCTGCTTTGCAGGTTATTATAGAAAATCAACTGACTGGTTCCCAAGCAAAACTCAGAGGGGGGGGGTGAAGTCCGTGAATGGACAATTCTGAAATTGTTCTTCTAGACTTGAGGGGTGGGAAATGTTTGAAATGTGGCAGAAAGCACTTAATGTTCTTGTCATTGCACAATAATTTGTAGTGTGTGCTCTGAACAGTTTTTTTTTTAAATAGGATAAAGTGCGTACCGAAAGCTATCGTGACTTCATATATCACAATCCACACATCTTTAGAGATAAGGTAAGTGGGTTAGCTTTAAAGCTGTAAATGTTCTTGCAGTATGAGATTCTCGTAGGTAATAGAAACTCTCTTTGATTGGATTCTTTCTAGACTTGGGGGAATGATTCCTTGACAGGTCTGTGATTCAATATATGTTGGGTTCTGTTACATGAAGAGCATTATTCAGCTGCTGGAGGGTGCAAAACACTGATAACAGAAATGCTGATCAGCATTGTCATTGTTTGGTGTGCTGTCTTGAAGTGTCCATTAATTATGATGACATGGTTTTGTCAAGCCTTCCTTGTCTGCTGTTTTAAAGTACCGTCTGAAATATGTATGCCTGCATTTATTTACAGTAATTCAAGTGCATTTCTAATCTGTATCTCACATGATAAAAGCGTAATGGAGATCCCTGTGGAATTAGCTTTTGAGGATTCACATCTGTTTTTTTCCTGAACGATACCCATATAAAGTCTTAGACATTAGACTGACTGCTTCTGATTTCTGACTTTGCTGTATATTGTATTCCCTTATGTAAGCAAGGATAAAGGTTTGGAAAGGAAGAAAGCTATAAGTAAGTGGTTTGTATGTATAATTGGACTTGTGAACTTAACGCTAAGTCCTTTTGATCACCTTGCTGATCTTTGGACCAAGGACACATAGTGCCAGTGTGCTGAATGCTAATGAGTGGCAGCTCCCATAGTTAGATAGAGGAGCTTGCTGCTCCCCAGAGCCCCAGTTAAAGTATGTTTAATATATGTAGTGCTACTTTTCATCATGTAAGGCACCATTTTGGTAATGCGGTAATATAATCTTAAATCTATACTATAATGTATATCAACAAATCTAATTCTCAATGTGACCCCATTTGTAGCTACTCGAATCCAGACTTTAAAGCCATACATAGACAAGATAGCTCTTTCTAAAAACCTGAGAAAAGCCCCAGGTTTACAGAAAAATCTGAAAGCTAAAACTCATACATTTGAGGACTACCCCTTTCAAATGATAGAAGCAGCACCTGCATCTTTAAGAAAGGAGATTTTAGTGGCCATTGTGGGGAGTTTCTAAGCAACCACAACAATATTGGCAGCCTTGAAACATTAGTTTCTTTCAATAAAAGGCAGGGGGAGGGCCTAGATTTTTGTTTTCTGTTTAGTTTTTTGGTAACTGTTGCTTGCAACTAAGGGTCCCTATGCAGAAGCCCAACCACTCAGCAAAGAGCTCTGCTTGCCTATGTTTGGGTGGTTCTCTTGTCTTCGATAGTCAGTTTTGTGTCCAGTTCTGTTTACACTCCACTACACAGGTTGCTGGAATTAACTTGCTACTTCGCACGTAGAGCCCATTTCAGTGCTCAACACTGTCTGCACTGTCTGAAATTATGGATTCTGAGATGGCCCTTATGAGGGCAGAAAGGCAGGTATAAATTTTCTGAAAGAAAATATAGTACCAGGAACCATGCACTCAGTGCCTTTTTTCTGGCTCAGCACTGCTGGATCAGAATGCAGATGTCCCTGTCCAAGCCAGATTTTGTTTTCAACTGGGTAGTTACAGATCTAACCAATTCCTTTTAAGTTTGTATTTCTTCTGCTCATTTCCTTATTTGATACTCAGATGAATTTAAGGTTGAGTTTCCAAAGCAGAATAATATTAAGTTTTAATGGTTTTTGAATTCGGCAGGATTTTTCAGGTGTGGAATACTTTAACAATTAGGCTTACATCAAGGGTTATTCTTAAAATAAATATAATTCTAAAACTTTGCATTTTGCCATGCAGACATAAAGTAGATTTTCTTAAAACTTTGCCATAGCAGAATTGTTTAAACAAATACATACTTCTAGAAATGCTATTTATTGTACTGCTTGCTTTCATTCTTTATGCCATCCTATCAGAGTGTAAATATTACCAGGGAAACTGCAGAACCCAACTCCTCTGTTATGATAAACTAGTACATCCCTGTGGTTGTGTTACTGTGCAAGTAGGAAGAAGTAAAGTTTTAAAACTCTGGCAAATTTTTCCTTGTAGACTACACCCTTATCAAATAATAAGGAGACTAGGCGAAATATTAATGAGGATTGCTCCAGCGATAAAAACTAGAACCAAGGTTTGCTTTCAACAGTCAGTTATTTTACTTGACCATGTAATGGCGGTCATTATTTTTATTCCATTTGATAAGTGTATAATGCGTTTCATTGACATGTGCAGTAGAAGATGGAAGTTCAAGGAATAAAATAACAGTGGCGAAGTCAATTCTTGTAACCTTTTTCCTTTGGATTACAAAAGCCTAGCTGGCATCAGTGTTACTTTCTTGTTTGAAGATTGGCTTTCTTATCAGTGCTTGTGCAAAAGAGAAGCCACCCTCCTTCCCATTTTCCCTTTGCTCCCACATATTGCTGAGCATTGTTATAGCCAGCGTGACCAACTGCATACAGAAGGGCAGTCTGCCTTTTTTGAGATCTTTCATACCTTTCCAAGAAAAGTTTGGGAGTCCAGTTTTTCTGTCAGGCCCTATTGACATCTTCTCATTAATCCTACATAAATGATCCTTAAAGGTCATTATGTATGTAGATAGCCTTAAAGTTAATTTGAACCAAAATGGTAGAGATTCCATGAGGTTAATAGACAACTGAATGTCATTTTAGGCTTGTCAACCAGTGTCTCCCTTTATTCTCCCTGAAGTCAGTTTTTATTTTGCTTCTCTATCAACCTTAACTGACAGATGGTCAGGTGGAATGGGCTGCTTTATCTTTAGCACATTGATTTTAGCAGGAATATCATTCATATGTTATGATAAATGATACAGAAGAATTTCCTGGGAGGCTCTCAAAATATTTCTGGTGGGAACATCTGTAAACATCTCTAAAACATTGGTCATGATAGAAAGAGCTAAAAACAGAATTACATAGCAAGAAAACCTATGGACCATTTACATGGTTATAGTTGAATGAGTAAAGCACTGTATTCCCTGAAAGATAAACTTGCCAAAACAGAATACTCTAGTTGTTATGCCTAATCAAGATAGATAGGAACATTGAAAAAAATAGGCTACTATAAATCCGGTATCTTAAAAGTATACTGTGTTAAACTATTTCTTACATAACCAAGCAGACGTTTTTCTGTGAATTTTTAGTGAGGTTTTTAAAATTCTCATCACAGCCTTTTCTGTGACAGGTTGCAGCTTGTAACACATCTCAGAAGTGAAATGAAAAATCACTGAAGGGTCTATAATGAAAAAAAAAAAGGTGACAGGCCTTTAATTACAGACCCATAAGTGGCACCACTAGAATGCAATCAGAGTACTCCATCAGGCTTGGCAGTTTGAATAATTGTCTCATACTTGAACCCTTGTGTATTCAGTTATCTCACCATCTCTCTTTTCCCTGTATTTCCCTTTTTTCATACTTGATGGTTATGCTTGTATACAAATAAGAAAAAGTAGCTGTTGCAAATGAATGACTAGTCACATTTACCTGAATTCAGGAGTTGACAACACATTCAGTTTGGAGGGTCACACATTGAATATCATAGGGTTCAAGGGATATATTTATATAATGGAGAAGTAAGTCATTGTTAATTAGAAGGTGACCTCTTTTTCCCCTCATGCTTTCATAATTAAGAGATGGAAAAAAGACTTTGGAAACACTAAAGCTATGTGTTCAATCTTGATTTACCTCGAGGTTTTTGAATCCTTGAATCATGTGATCAGATAAAACCCTCAAGAGTCTTCTGCATGCAGCCTGTAAAGTGTTTTTGCCTGTTCCATTGAAGTTAAAATTTCTGCATTCTAGTGTTTGTTATTACTTTGGTAGAACCTCAGTGCAATTTTATGTAGATTTACTCCAGCCTAAGACCATACTATTAATCTTGTATGGTAAACTTTCATGAGTAGTTTTTTCAGAATTGCTGTTTGTGGTATCAGCAGAGTCAGACTTCCTAGTAATAATGACTTTTTGCTTTTTGTGCTAGATTGTCTTAGATGTGGGCTGTGGAACTGGAATCCTCTCCATGTTTGCTGCGAAAGCAGGTGCAAAGAAGGTTATAGGAGTGGACCAGTCTGAAATTATTTATCAGGCCATGGACATCATTAGGTAGGAACAGTTCTTCTGAATTAGTGACTTTTAGTAATAACCTATGCTCACAATGTTTAAAGTCTGGTGTCATTGCATTTCTGCTTATGCACTTAAGACCAAGGTAATGGTCTTTTGGAGAAAGCCTCAAATCTCTCGATGGACTATCCTTGGCAACCCTATCAAACAACGCAGAGCATTTAAATAGCTTGGAGTAACCTTCATGGAGACTCTGAATTGGAAAAACCATCTTGCATCAGTAAAATCTTCAGCATTAAGAATGGCAGGATCAATTTTACATTTTTTCCACACAAAGGACGGACGTCTGTGACTTGGTATTGAAATTATTCAACAGCAAGGTCATCCCCCATCTCTTATATGGAATTGACATTTGGGACTGGAAGGAGGATATTTTGGCTAACGTGGAGGTAATCCAAAACCAGTTTTTGAGGCAAATTCTAGCTTTGCCCAGAGGCACTCCCAAATCTTTGATGAGAGCTGAACTGGGACTCCCCTCTCTTATGGCCCAGGCACACCTGGCAGTCATAAAATACTGAAAATGAGCTCCAACTCTATAAGTCACCAATCAGACAACCTCCATTTCGATAAAGACTTTACCCACTCTAACTTTCTTAATACCATTATCCAAAGATACACCATTCCAGATGACCTTCTCAGGGCTTCAGCTGAGAATTCACAACTTAGGGATTGGATATACAAGGCTGATGCACTGATTGATCATTCTTTAATCCTGAAATCTAAAGTGGCTCCATGGTATAAATATTGCAAATTTGACCACCGCAGGTTGAATTATCTAGTCAGTATCTCTAACTGTAACCTTAGAGTGCCCTTTACAGCTTTATGATTCCAAACTATGCAAACAGCTCTTTTGGCTGGCCGTTATTCGCATACTCCAAAAGAGCAATGTCTCTGCATTTGTGGCTTGCCAGAGGTGGAGGACCTTCCTCACTACATGCTCTACTGTCCGCTATACAGCACTCCAAGAGAGAAATTTTTAGCAGGAATTCTATCGGTTATGCAAACATACCCAGAAACTGAGAAGATTGCGTTCTTGCTTTGAGATAATGATGCTTATCTATCCTATAGAGTTTCCCTGTTTGCTTTAGCAGCATCTAAGATTAGATCTAAGGGGCAGGCTACCTGATGGTGATTAAACCTGTTTTATCTTTCTTTTTATTACTGAGTAGTAGTCAGTTTTAACCCAGATGTTAAAGGTGCTTTTTAACTTTTTATGATTGCTCTGCTGTATTCTGTATTTTGTAATGGCCAGTGGCTTAATACAATAAACCATTTATTGCACTTTGCACTTATGCACTTCAATTCTAAACCCACATGAGCTACTTTAATACCTGCTTCTTTTTAAATCTCAAAATGCAGTGTTGTTCACCACTCACCTATAAGTAATGATGACTAAGTGTATCTTTGCCTGGTCTTTTTACATCTCAGCTACCATGGTGTGTATGTACACACACACAGAATTGAAACTCTATCTAAAATTCCCTGTGGTACATATGGTACCATTGTAACTGCAAGGTCTGTCCTGCTAAAAAGGTCCATGTTGACCATTGTTGGTCCTGTAATAACAATTTCCTCAGATAATCGAGGAAGAGGCTGTGGCTCAGTGGAAGGTACTCAGGTTTGCATGTAGAAGATCCTGGGTTCAATTGTTAGCCAAATTGCTTTATTTCTTTAATAAGAGGTTGGGGAATTATGATATTAATGTGCAGTTGACATAACTATAGGACCATGACCTTTATATACTGGAGTCCCACTTTACTGAAGTACCAGAAATCGATCAGGAGACTAGATCTTAAATATGATTTATTTTACTAAATAATTCACACACACAATAAAAACAATCATACATTCAAACAACACAGAGCTAGGAAAATTAGATAGAAAGGTATAGTGACTGTCTCATTAGTAGGAAAATATCGATGAGGAGTGATACTTTACCTGTCCGGCGTGTTAAGTTGAATCTGCAGCAAAAAATGGGAACAGATACTGGGGAAGGGAATTGTGTGATGGCCAGCAGCACACGTGGGGGACTTCAGCCAGTGCTAAGACTGAAGTTGGCTAGATAGGGCAGGATTAGGTAGGAGAGGAGACAGCGAGAACAATGGGCAGATGCTCTTCTTATATACCCTAGAAGTGGCTTGGGCGTGTGCCACCAAGTCACATGGTCCCCAGGATTCTAGGGAGGTTCAGTTACTAATGGTCAGGAGATGACTGGGAGAATCGGATTAATGGTTGGGCAATTGCACTGACTAGCCAGTTTGGTGTAGTGGTTAAGTGTGCGGACTCTAATCTGGGAGCACCGGGTTTGATTCCCCACTCCTCCACTTGCACCTGGCTGGATGACCTTGGGCAAGCCATAGTTCTGGCACAGCTGTTCTTGAAAAAGAGCAGTTTCTGTCAGGGCTCTCTCAGCCCCACCTACCTCCCAGGGTGTCTGTTGTGGGGAGGGGAAGGGAAAGGAGTTAGTAAGCCACTCTTGAGACACCTTTGGTTAGTGAAGGGCAGGGTATAAATCCAATCTCTTCTTCATCTAATTGTGACACCTTTGAAAGACAAAAGGAAAGACAGGAGTAATCACGGGCGGTGGTTAGTCTTAGTGTTATCAGGATGGGTGGTTGATGGAATTGTAGCAGCTGCTTAATCCTGTCACATCGCAAGTCCTTTTGGTATGCAATGAGTAATACGTGCAGCATCTGGAGAAGGTGGTGGTGGGGGAGATGCCTGCATGCTGGAGAAGGGTTCCTTCTGTGGAGTCTCTGCTGGAACACTCAGGCTTTTTGTGTAAAGCATGGCCTCTCTTTGGCAAACTGCTGCCAGTTGCTGAATGCTTTGGGTGTCAGGGATGCTGTCTTGCCTCCTACAGGGATGCAGGGTTGCAAGGCTTTGGGCATGCCACGGGTCCACGTCTGATTGGCACACTGCTTCAGGGCGAGGCTTCCCTTGGCTGGCACATGTCTTCAGTCCAGGAGGTTGGCATCTTCATTGGGTCTGCCGCACAGTCCAGTTCCTTGGCACACTCATTGCACAGTCCAGCTTTTTATGTCAGTCCATAGCCTTATAGATGCTGCGTAAGGCTCTTGCAGGGCAACACAATCCCCAGTATCTCCAGTTAAAAGGATCTGGCAGTAGGCAATGTGACAGACTCCCACCTGAAACCCCAGAGAGCCATTCCTGAGTAGACGGTTCTGACCTTGATGATTCCAGTAGAAGGATGGCTCCATTGAAGATGTTAAAAATGCTGACTTAAATGAGTTATGTCACGGGAAGTTGCAGCATGAGCAGGGAGAGTAGGAGGTTTAGTACAGATGGATATGTCTAAAGACTACCATCCTTCACTTGCCCTTTTCTTTTGTGAGGGCTAGGAACTAAATGAAAGCTGGGATTGTTGAGACTTCTGATGAACCACTGGCCATATCTATCAACAAAATGGACCGCAAATAGTGTAGACCTGCTGTATTACTTTCTGTTGAATGTGACCTGATACTGGAATGTTCCCCAAGACTTTTCATGTTGAATGTGTACAAGGAACAGTGTTCCTGCAGTTCATTAGTCTTCCTGCCGCCATTGTGCTTTGCTGTTTTGAGACCAACAGTCCAATATCGGCAATAAAGGCAAGGTTCTTGAAACAAGTCTGTGGTGGGCAGGAAACTATGTTTTCTTTTAAGGCAATGCTTTTCCATAGCAGTTGTTGGTGGACCACCTAAGTCCACATTATTGTTAATGACAGACATAAAGAAACCTTGCCATGTACTAGATCTGAGAGAGGGTAATAGATTTTGCAAGACCCTCTTCATATGTTAAGTTATTGCTACAGCTCCATGTCAGTGTCCTTTAGGCATTTCATGTACGGCGTTATTTCTTGTCTAAAATATATTTTCTTTAGATGGCAACTTTGATTTTTTGGCGGCTTATTGTCATTTTTTTTTTGCATTTTTACAAACATTTTGCAACTTGATCTTTGGCATGCTGTATTAACTTAGTACCTTCCAAGTTTGGAATTAAGTCATGGCTCTTGTGTGAGAGCTTTGGGTTGTTCTCTCTGATATCAGAGCCAGAGTCTAGCCCGTTTTTTGGCACTTTGGCTGTCATCAATGCTGTTGAACAAGTGCTTCTCTCTGGTTTGCTCAGGCCTTGAATGTTACATTACTGCTAGAGGGAAACAATAGGGCTGGGATAATGCTTTACATTTTTGGGAAGGGTATTCTTGGTAGGATAGACCCTGCATAGCAGAGGTGATGGTTATCTGGATCTGTCAGTTTCGTTCACACAAACATACGATGCCATTTCTTTAGAACAAGCAATTTCTGTTGGTTTGAACTGCCACTTTAACAGACTGTTGCTACCAAAAAGTATCCACTGGAAGACACTTAGTTTTCTTTACCTAGTGAGATCCCATTTTGGTGAGTCCATCTGCACTTAATTTGTCTCTTTTAGAATACATAAGCAATACTAATCGACCTTGATAGGTTACCTGTCTCACTGGAGGCGAACACTGTTACATAGTTTAATTTGCGTTATCAGCAAAGGCTTTATTTAAAATCTCTTCAAAGTCATGAGGAACAGATCAGTTAATTGAGCTTGAGACTTTCTAGTAGACACTTTTCGGTGGGGAATAGCAGACAAAATTAGCACCCAAGTTCAAAGGCAGTTTGCCTGTCACGAGGGTGTATTTAGGTCTATGTGGAGACATTGTAGCAGTTAAATTTCAGAGCTCCTGTTCATATTGTGCATATAAAGCCTGTGCAGACTTTAGGAGGCTTTAAAGGCATTTTAAGCAAACAAGCTGGGTATATGCCTTATCCTCATCAAAATTTTAGGCTCCAAAGGAAACACAAACTTATGTAATTAGCATCAATTTTTCTTTTTTAGAATTAGAAACCAGGGCCTTTGAATTTTTTCCCATATAATATGTCAGGAATTAATTTATAGTTGAACAGCAACTCATTTAAACTTGTTCCGAGGTATTGTGGTACAGCTGTAGCATTACAATGCTGTCGTTTGGATTTTTTAAAAACCCTTTCAATAACAGTACAGGAAGTCCTTGCTACACTTGGAAACTGAGAGAGTAATGAAAACACCTGTCTGCATAACAGTTTCGGATTTGTTTGATTTGCATGCCACACTAAGGGCAAAGGGGGATTAAAGAGAACTAATCTTGTGACAGTGATGAATGATCTCTTGGAGTACATGGGGAACAATTGCTGTAAGGTTACATCTGCTGACTGTATAACTATTTCATTTGTCTCTAATTTGGATTCAAACAATTTGTAACAGCCTTGTTATATTTCGTTGCTCCTGACGACAGAAGAGATGTCACTTTAACCTGTTCGGAGTGTATAGTGTCATGCTGAAATTTGGTTATTGACCAGGGCCAGATCAGTTGCTGGTGTCAAGATGTTTAGTGCCTCCTGTGTTATATTTCACTAGTAAGAATCTGCTTTTTAACATGCATAGGGTAAAGTATGATACTAAGTTGGGCTTATAGGTTAAGAGGCAAGGGAGCACTGAGTTTGAATGCATTTTTAAAAACACTGTTTCTCTCTCCCATACGTAAGTTTATTAGCCAGTTTCCTAAAAGTCCATACTAAAGCACTTTCAAAGTGTTCCAGATGTCTGTAGTGGATTTTTTTTGCTATTTTTTTCTAACTTCAAAAGGCCCTTAGTTGCAAAAGAAAAAGGAATAGACTCAAAGAGCAAGTGTTCACATTTAGCCTTCTTAAAAAAGCTTCAGCTGTCCAGTTCTTCACATATCCATGTACCTCAGTGAGTTAGAGCTGGACTGGTTCTGGATGACATCACAGATCAGACTTAACTACCACTGAAACTGAGATTTTCAGAAAGATAGGTTGGCTAGAGAAAATACTGCTAGCTTCTCAAGTGGAATTTGGGTGATATAGCATGTTCAAAATTGCCACAGTTAATACAGAACAAGAAAAGCATGTTCAAAACTCTTTCTCGTCTGTTTATCTGTAGCTCATATAATCATTTCCTAAGTTTTCATTTATTACTCTTTCATGAGTTAGAGGTTATTAGGGTTGCCCACCCAAGCTACCATGCACAGGCTGTTTTGCACTGTTCCAAGAAGTGGCTGCCTTTGTTTGGTAAGCCATTTCATTTGTTCCATACAAAAAAATCCTTTTTTTCTTGAGCTTGAAAATGATACCTATGGTTTTCTGTTTGTCCATTCATCTTTGGTGATGTTCTGCTCTGTTAATTGGAAATAGTCACCTGTTCAATGCATTTCACCCACTGGTGTCTTTAAGCAGTGACACAATGCCCAGGGAAATGCACTATGAGTAAATTAATGAGCCTTAACTGCCAAATAGTTGTTTAATATAACTACTGCTTGGGTGCTAGCAACTTTTGACACAGAAGGGGATATTCTGGCAATACTTAAGTGATTGGTTTATGAAACTTTTCACCCATAACTTGCCATCACCCAACTGTCAGTTCTCCCAAGTTATTAAAAATGAGATTACTGGGTTGGGTTAAAGTCAGATGTAGAGAGGCTGCAGGAATAACAAATGTTGAAGAAAGGGCAGCAATACCAATTGCACTGGAGAAATAAATTTCAGTGGTGTGAATAATTACTCTGTCCTCTCTAACATTAGCTGTCATGATAATGGCATATGAAAAGAAGATTGATATAGTGTGCTTCAGAGAAAGTAAATAAATGCCATTAAAACTTGATTTCCGATTTACCTGTTAAATAACCATGCAGTCTATTTAGAAAATGAAACACCTGGATATCTTTGGAGCAAAAGTAGTGCTATAGTTTTGCACCTGAACCAGCAGATAGTATTATCAGTTGAAGCAAAATGAAAGAGATGACTTCATCATACAATAACTATATTATCTGTAGTGAACATTTGTTGGTAACTTTTCCATTTTATTTATCTAAAATGTACCAACACCATTTTTGGTGCAGCTGAATATCCTTAATAGCATTTAAATTAAATTATTATACTGCAAAATTTAACAAGAATAGTAAAAGAATTAGGAAGATGCACCTCAACAACATGAAAATAGAAGGGCTTCTCCATAGGTTTCAAAGACATTAATTGTTGGGACTAAGTTAATATATTAAGACTAAAATTTGGAAGGGTATCTATGAACTTCCCCCTTTTTGTTTTCCTTCCTCCATTTGTCCCTTATCTTACAGTTTCAAGCATTACGTGGAGGAAAACTATTGTTCAGTTACCTAACTACCCTTAACATAAAAATACACTTGTTAGGGCAGAGTGGTCTTGTTAGGGCAGAGTGGTCTTGTAACATCAGAGTAAATCTTAAGGCCATCTGTTCATTTTGCAGGCCTGTCTTGAGTGCTGTGCAGAACCATAATCCAGGAGGAAGACTGAATATAATAAGATGTTCTTATAGTCACAGATTTGATTATTTTTTGCTTTTGTGGTTGACAGATAATAAGCTTCGCTTTTCTAGTACTTATTGCCGTCTTGAAAACAGCGATGCAGCTTCAGATGCTAGACACATTTGGAAAAAAGTATGGTGTATTTATCTATACCCTACCTTTCTCTCCAATGGGGAACCAAAGCAGCTTCTTTCCCCTCAGTTTATCAGCACAACAGCCCTGTCAGGTACGTCAGGTTGAGAGTGTGCACCTGGCCCAAGATCACCCAACAATCTTCCATGGCAGATTGGGGATTCAGTAGCACAGTTCTATAAATCTACTGAAGCTGCCATAGCTTGTGCCACAAAAATCGAAGCAGTATCCTAAACTACAGGTACATAACTTGATAGGACTGTATATTTGTGCCAGTGAAATTATTCCTGTGTACATGTTTAGGTCAGTGGCTCTACTATGACACCATAGAAAGTGTGTTTAAAATGTTGTAGGCTGGAAATATTGAGGCTCAAGGTACACATTACTCAAGTTGTTATTGTACACATTGGGATGTTGTTGTTGTTCAGTCGCACAGTCGAGTCTGACTACACAACCCCATGGATGACATCACGCCAGGCCCTCCTGCCTTCCACTGTCCTCCGGAGTTTGGTCAATTTCATGTTTGTTACAGTGGTACCACTGCCTAACCATCTCATCCTTTGCCGTCCCCTTCTTCTTTTACCTTCAATCTTTCGCAGCATCAGGACCTTCTCCAGTGAGTGCTCCCTTCTCATTTGGTGGTCAAAGTATTTGAGCTTCAGCTTCAGTATCTGGCCTTCCAGGGAACACATTGGGATAGGCACTGCCATTTTGTTTCATTAGTACTCAGGCTTTCCTCCTTTGCAAGATCCCTTCTACTGACAGAATACACTCTTGCATTTACATGAGCTGTGACTTGCCTCAATGAAAGGGTCTTTGTGCCTGGGAAATGTTTGGGTGCTGACAAAATAAATAGTAGGATCCCACCCTTATACCTGTGGGCCATTTACCTCTTTAACATATGTGCTTTAAGGTAAAGATGATATTGGAATAATTTCTTTCTTTGAAAAATAAGCTCAAGGCTCCCACTACAGTGCATAAGGAACTACATTTACAAGTTAGTTTATCAGGGCTGATTCCCCTAGGACTAGTGAGAATCATTCACTTCACCAGCTTTCCCCCCTTCAAACGTTTACAACTAATTAATATTTTACAGATGGGATTATCAGCCTGAGAGTGTGCACCCTGCCCAAGGCTACAAAGACCAGTTTGTACCAGAGGCCTCCCTATGGTGAGCCCATAACACTGGGGCTCCTCCTTGGAGGGGAGAGGGGGTGGCCACAGAATTACCATTCAGACAATTTGGGTTAGTATAGGCCAGCTACCAAAGGATTAATAATTCTTTTCTGAGCACCTTACTAACATACAGTGCAGAAAAATACAATTTGTTTTTCTAGAAAAGAATCTGTAGTGATATTTCAATACAATCTCTATGCTCTTATGACATGTTACACTACTGTCAGTATAGTAAATCCATATTATGGGGTATATAACCAGATATCACTGTTATTTTTTGCAGACTCAACAGACTTGAACATACCATTTCTTTAATCAAAGGAAGAATTGAAGAAGTTGATTTGCCTGCTGAAAAAGTCGATGTTATAATTTCTGAATGGATGGTAAGATCACCCATATGCTATTTATTAATAAAAATGAACTAGTTTTTTTAAATGAAAGAAATACTTAATGTGCAATTTAATGATTTATGCAATTATGGGCTCAAATTATTGACTTGCACTGTTAGGGAACTTATTTAGTATTGTGCTTTGATATGTGGGGAAAGGATATGTAAGGTTTCTATCATTCAGATTTGGATTGTAGAAATAGGTTTGAGATAGTATGAAAGAGTCCAAAAACACAGGATGCTTCTCTGTCCATGGAGGCCCAGGTTGCCGCAGTTCCCAGATCTGCATTCTTCCATCTTAGGCAGATCAGGCTACTGAAGCCCTCTGTCTCCCTGCAAGACCTAGCTACAGTGATCCATGCAATGGTCACTTCCAGGCTTGATTACTGCAACTCGCTCTACGCAGGCTAATCCCTGAGGCTGATCCAGAAATTACAACTGGTGCAAAATGTGGTGGCGCGCCTGCTGATACTGATGCCTGTGCGGGCTCACGTTCAGCATGTGCTTTGCCAGCTGCATTGGTTACCAGTTGAGTACCGGATCCACTTCAAGGTGTTGGTAATAACCTTCAAAGCCTTATACCGCCTGGTACCAGTGTAGCTAAGGGATCGCCTCTTCCTGTATACTCCTCGAAGAGCTTTACGCGCTAATAATCAACATCTCCTGGCAGTCCCTATCCCAAAGGACATCCATCTAGCCTTGGCCAGGGCCTTTTCTGCCCTGGCCACCACCTGGTGGAACATGTTCCCCGTTGAGATCAGGGCCCTGCGGGATCTTATTCAATTCTGCAGGTCTTCAAGACGGAGCTGTTCCACCACGCTTCTTGTTGAGGCAGCGGGCGTCCACACATGGCCTCCCCAAGTTTGCTGTCTCCCACCTATCAGTCAGCCATCCATCAGTAACCAGCCATATCCATCTGTATTAATGAGTCGGAACTTTCACCAGTAAGCTGTAACCACTGATTTTAAATGTTTATATTTTATTTATTTAATCGTACTTATATCCTGCTCTCCCAGCCATAGCCGGCTTAGGGCAGCTTACATAAAATACTCAGTACATTAAACAATTAAAAGACTTAAAACAATTAAAACAATAAACCCATTTAACAATATAAAGTGCTAGTGATTCATATCGCTGTTAATGATGGCACCCAATTTCCGTAGTCCGTTATAACGATGTTATAAGGTTTCAGGGATGTTATAAAGCTCCAGGGAACATGGCTCTCTGTCCTTCCATTGTTGGGGGCGGCTCCATGATTGAAAGCCTGGTGGAAGAGCTCCGTTTTACAGGCGCTGCGAAACTGCATAAGGTCCCGCAGGGCCCTGATCTCTTCCAGGAGCTCATTCCACCAGAACAGAGCCATCACCGAGAAAGCTCTGACCCTGGTCACAGTCAGTTTAGCCTCCTTGAGGCCCGGGAGGGCGAGTCAGTTTTGGGACCCAGATCTCAGTGCTCTCTGGGGAACATGTGGGGAAAGGCGGTCCCTCAAGTATGTAGGCCCCTGAGAATACAGGGCTTTAAAGGTAAGAACCAGCACCTTGAAGCAGATCTGGTATGCTATCGGCAGCCAGTGTAATGCTTTTAGCACAAGGTGGATGTCTTCCCGCATAGGAAGACCCATCAACAGCCTGGGCCGCCACATTTTGCACTAGCTGCAGCTTCCGGATTTGCGACAAGGGCAGCCTCATGTAGAGAGCATTACAGTAGTCCAGTCTCGAGGTGACCATCACATGGATCACTGTTGCTAAGTCGTTGCGTTCAAGGAAGGGAACCAACTGCCTGATCAGCCAAAGCTGGTAAAAGTCGGACCATTTTTAAGGAGGCATCCAGGAGCACTCTCAAACTCCTAACCTCTGGCGCTGGCCTACCCTTGGTCCACCCCGACTCAGACACAGGACCTCCATCTTTGTCGGATTCAGTTTCAATCGGCTCAGTCTAAGCCATCCAGCCATGGCTTGTAACGCCTGGTCCAGATCTTCCAGTCTAGAGTCAGACTGGCCCCGCCCAACAGCAGATAGAGTTGGGTGTCGTCAGCATATTTCATTGTAACTGTTGAAATACGGTGTGACTCGCCCTGAACCCGCTTGTGGAATGGGCGGGATACAAATATGAAAAATAAATAAATAAAATAAAGACTAACAGTTTGTGGTAGGGTATGAGCTTTTGGGAGATACATCTGAAGAAGTGAGCAGTGACTCACAAAAGCTCATACCCGACCACAAATTTTGTTAGTCTTCAAGGAGCTACTGGACTCTTACTCTTTTCTGCTGCAGACAGACTAACACGACCACTCACCTTTATGTGTCTCCATTTTTTGAGATGCTAATGCTAAACAAGCATAAGGAATGGTCTGTCAGAAGCAGAGGGCCATTGAAGTTCAGGTTCTAACATTTTCCAGTTACTAGATGAAGAATCCATTTCTCAGTGAATTTTTCATGGACAGGCAGAGCTTGACAGGGGAGCACCAACCAGTGATGGTGCAGTTAGCTTACTTACTAAGAACTGGTTATCCCTGAGGTATTTTTTATGCCTCAAACATGTTAAAAGTAGGAAAGGCTTAAAAGCTTTCAGGTGTCTCACTGTAATGCAGTCCAGGTTTTAACACTCTCTCAGAGTGGCTTGTCAGTCCTTCAGTCTTTATTGCATCAGCAAAAAAGCCCTAGTAACAACACAACAATTCCATCAAAGTGAAAGCAAGAAAATTCCACACGTTTTCATACAAGGGCTTTGTCAGAAAAAAGCAATGTTTCAGCAAACTGCTAGCTCATCTGAAAAACCATCAAAAGTGACAAGCCTTTATTACATATTGACAGACTGAAACCAGCAAGTTAGAGTTTTTCCTGTTTGAGATGACAATAGGTTACTGGATTGGTTTGTTAAAGTTCTTTTGAATTTTCTCTGGGCTTCCTGATTTGGAAATGTAACAAGTCGTACATTTTGGCAGCTCTGAGCATTACCAGGGGTTTTTTTATGAGAAAAGAGACAATTGAATATAAAACGAAGTAATTTTTATAGTTGCCCCAACGCTTCCCTCTTTTTATCTCTTGGAATATAGTTTGGCTTCTCTAATGTTATCACTATGTCCCTGACCATGGGGGAATGAGGTAAGCCATTGAAGGGCCATCCCATGGACTCCTACATCGGCAAGGCAGTGGGTCAAAAGATCATAGTCGACTATGTCAAATGCTGCCGTAAGATCTAATATTAGTAGCAGCGCTGACCCGCCTCAATCCAGCTGTCTACAGAGATTCGTCTGTCAGGGCAACCAACACCGTCTCCGTGCCGTGGCCAGGGCAGAAGCTGGACTGAATGGGTCATGTCAGTGTGTCATCCAGGAAACTCTGGAGCTGTTCAGCCACTGCCCTCAATTAACTTACCCAAGAACGATAAATTCGAAACTGGGTGGTAATTGGCCAGATCGGAAGGACCCAAAGTTGGGTTTTTTGAGTGGTATAACCAGGGCCTCCTTAAGGCCATCCAGATAGACTGGTTGACAATATCCGTCAATGGGCCCCATATCCTCTCATTGCCAGCTTTCACTAGCCACAAGGGGCATGGATCAAGAAGGCATGCAACAGAAGGAAGCAATGAAAGCCCTGCATGCTTCCCTCATGAAGATTAGTTATCCTTATGGATGCAGAATGCACCTTTGATTTAAGAGCTATATATATCTGCAGCATACCCACCTTATCTTTGCAATCTTTTAACTCACTCTAAAAGAGAAAATATTTCACAGGAATTTTTTTCAATACTTCTCAAATTCCAAAAGGCCTTGAGGGAAAACCCCCCCTGAGGGGCCCCATTTTTTTGGTTTTTCCCTGAGCCTTTACATCTCTATTTACCTTCCTGATATAGGTTCTTTTTTTCTAGGAACCGCTACAACATCTACATTATATGAAAAAACATACAGTGTTTTGAGTATATGTTAAATCTAAAAAAGGACTACGTAAGAAGGAATGCAGCGATTTTCAGAAGTGAATATAGTAGAGTAGACTTCTTACCGTGAGTGTTACACTCATGTGACGGGAAGAAGGATATTAGTGCTTCCAATTATGAACTAGTGGTAGTAGTTCCAAAGGTGTTAGTTTTGCAATTAAGTATAAACTACTGTAGCATTTTGAAGACATTAAAAGCACACCTACACAGAGTGTGTATGTGTATGTGCACTAGTTAAAAATTGAGAAACATGACCCAGATAGTGTACTGCTGAAGAGATGTTCTATAGAGGTAGGTGAGCAGGCTTTGTGAACAAGGCTGTTTTATATGCAAGCAGAACTGTGCTTCTGTTCCCTCGAGGTACAGAATTTTAAGAGGTAATGATGTTTTACAGTAATTAGAGTAATTCTACATACAGTAGTTAACTGTGAAATGAGAACGGCTGTGCAGTATGCTGGTTTTCCAGAATATTCATTTTGTCTGTAGAAGGGGATAATTTGGTGTATACATTTGGGAAAGAGGCTTTTTAGTAGAGATTTTACTTTCTTCACATTTTGATTCCTTATACTGTCCTACAAGGATAAATAAGTGTCAGTATCAGAACAAGTGGAATGCTGCCTGGGTGGAACGATTCCCTTCTAAATTATTTTCTAGTTTTACCATTGAAATATGTAGTCCTTGTTGTTTTTGAACTGGTAAATCCTAATTTCAGAATCATTTTTCTGTTGTCTTATATACTCTCTAGCAAACCTGTTTTAAAAGCTGTCATACAAATATAGGATTGGATTCAGTGGAAACTCATGTGGATGGAATTGGGAGAAATGGAACTTTGCCTACTTTTTCCTTTCCCAGGTAGCCCGCTGTTTGTCCTGCTAATCCTCTGTGAGAGTTGGGTGAGCCTCTCAAGCAAAATGCACCACAAAATAGAGCAAAGCAGCAAAGAGGCAGAGTTGAGTGTTACTGCCTTCTCTGCTGAAATGCACCACAAAGCAGCAAAGAGGCAGAGGGGTTGAGTGTTACTGCCTTCTCTGCTGAAATAAATTCCCAGTGGAAGAAGGA